TTAGGCTGGGGACAGGCCAGGCCCTCCACCTTCCTGAGGCTGGGCCATGCCCCATTTCCCCAATGGGACCGGGACACACCCTCTTTTCATTGTGGGGTGGGCTGGGGCCAGGCAACGACCCTTGTCCCCCATGGGGTTGGGTTGGGCCTGGATCATGTCCCCTTCCTCCCCATAGGGCTGGGACATGTCCCTTTTCCTACTTCCCCACCCAAGGGGCTGGGTGAAGCCTCCTTCCTGCCCTGCAGGCCCAGGCTCAGACCAGGTTGTCCCCCATGCACCTCTGCATGGATGGATGGTGGCCACCATGCCAGCCCTTGATGCTGGATAGGAACCACCATCCAGTTCCTGCCCAACTAGCCTATGGAAAAAGGTTAAGTGCCACTGGTCAAGGCAACCAAGATAAAAAACAACTCATAGTCAGAGCCAGATTAAGGCACAGGGGCCTAGGCACAAGCCAAGGGCCAGCTTCTGGAGTCATGTGATTCTAGCACAATCTCCAGCTCTACTACATCCATTGACAGCAACTAATGCAGATGAAATAAAGACAGTAGTGGTCTCTCAGTTAGAAAGATCTTAAACTAAATCATTGATACTCATGGCATAAGACTTCAGGCATTAATAAAAAATGATCAGAAAAGGGACTTGAGTTGTGAGAGGGTTATAAATGTTTTCAACAGATGATCTTTTAAACATAATGCAGCATGTTTTGGAAATAGTGATATCACATCCACAGCAAAACTTAAATGAAATGACTCAATAAAGCATTTATTAGGTAGTACCAAAAAATAACTTTTAAAAGGTAAGATCAATTTCAAAGTTAAATCATTTTAATGCCCTGCCAATATGCGAAAAGAGAATCCCTCTTTTATTATAGTGTATGCTTATAGCATACATTCAGAATGGATTCCTTCACTTCAATAACTAATTTTTTATGGTACTAAAATGACGACTGTTTGAATTTATGTTACCATATTAGCAAGAGTGTCGTTATTGTAACTTACCTTACAATCCTTTTTTAAAATTTGCCAAGGGAATACAAAATGTAATCTTAGTCTAAACTTCTCCAAAATTTAGCTTCTATTGTACAAGTCATACATTTTAGCTAACATCTCTTTTTCAGATTCCCATTCTGTCAGTTGAGGTTTTTCCTCTATAATTATTACTGTAGTGACAACTTGCCTACAGTTGATCAAATCCAGAAGTCTCAGTAGTTCCATGGAAATAGACTCAGACTAGAAGGGAATAAGATTTATTTTATTTAAAATAAATAAGTAAATAAATACAAGCTATTGCCAAACTCCTGATGCAGAACTGGAGCAGCTGCTCAGCTGGTATCTCAATGTCACTGGCCACAGTGAAAAAAAGCTTTTCAAGAGATAATTGGATAAAATAAGCTATGGGTCAGCAAGCCACTAGCCCTCAATCACAGCAAGTTTCATCAGCTTTCTGGTAAATCTTAAAGACTCTTATAAAATGTCCTTATGAGATTGGTAGGAAAGTATCAACAACTTCCTGTTACAGATGGAAAAAGCCAGGCAGGCACGTTAACAGATTTCACAAAGGCCACAAAATAAGTCAATATCAGCAAAGCAGAAGGCCTTTGCTCTCAGCCTATTGATTTGCCCTTGCTTGCACGTAGAGCCTACACAGACTGCTGCCCCTAAGCATAAAGCAAGTCTAGAAACATTTTTAGCCTAAGTTAAAATAGTTCTAAGGAAGATTAAATAGATGAACTGGCACTTCCCACAGCAGATCAGAAAGACCCAGGTAGTTCAGTCGGTAGGGTGATTGGTGATAGAATGGAAGAACCTGGATTAAATTGCAGGTGAGGGCAGTGGGTTTCCATTCATTGTTTCCATTGCCAGCATGGACCTGAGGCCTATCCAGCCTCCTATCCAATGGGTTATGAGGAGCTAACTGGGGGTAAATGCAGCTGGAGCAAGCTGCTCACCACATTACCTACTTCTTGGGCAGAGGTTAAAGAAAGAGTGATTCTCTGCCTCTGCTAACCCCAATGGGCCTCAGTGGCTGGTAAACAGAACACCTTTACCATTACATATCTTCTTTTTGACCTATTCTTGGTATAAAAAAGGAGTACTTTCTTCCTTTGTTATACACACAATTTCCATTAGTAAATATAGAAGTTACCTGTATGTAACTAGGGGGGAAATTATTATTGGGGTCTTTAGAAGAAAACTTCTGGCATGTGTTTTACAGTTACTTCATATTACTCTTTAGACAATGATAAGAGCTTTACATTAATATCTCTGTAGATTATCCACTGAACATTGTGTACTGTCAAGTTCAGAAGCTCAAACTTGGGGCCTATTTTTGTTATCCTCCTTTGTGTTGAGTAATACCTTACTCTGAGTAGTCCTATTGAAATCTAAGAGTTCTCTAGTAGCCAGAAAGACGCCATGGTAGAATCATGCCCTTGATTTACGCTCCTAATGAAAGTGAAGTTGGTAAAGAAATAGACACATGATCTAAGGGAGTTGGACAGCAGAACTTTCAAGTGGTTAAATTTGAAAGTCCTCAGGTTCCCACCTATGTTTAGGTGAACTGATCACTTTAAAGCTTGTTGTTTCTGAGCTAAATGGAACCTGTAAGGAAAACTATAAAGTTATGTAAGTATTGGGGTAGCTGTAGAGAACAGATGGCCCAGCTCTGTTACAAGGTACAGATTTTCTTGAAAGAAGTAATTGCACAGTTATCAGTCATTCTGGGATACAACAATCTCTAATTCTTTAGGAAAAAGATATGCCTATTTCAGAAATTCCCAAAATTATGTTACTTATTCTTGTAGCTAGAATCATTATTCAGACTCACAGAAGGGTGATCTTTTATTATGTATTTGACTTTTGGCAGTGCTGTGTTAGAAGTGTAATATGCCAAGTGGGCAGTCTATGGAAAGAAATGCAAAGACAAATTTTAGTGAGCCTGGATGGTTTCTGTGGACTCGTATTTCTGATAACAATGCTTTTTCTACATGTCTGAGTCTCCTAGTTATCAGAATTACAGTATGTGGAGCTTTGGCCCTTATTTTGTGCTTAAGTGACTCATATTTGTTTTTAATGACAAATATTTTTTGTTTTCAACATTTTAATCTTGAAGTTTTTCCCAGGAGCACTGTTGTTTTCATTCCCCTTCACCCTTACCTGCATTTTCACCCTACAGTAACTTCCCCTACCTCCCACAATATTACAAAATCACATAACATCACTTTTCAAGAAAAATGTTTTAAAATATTTTAGAATGATAATGGGGAATGTGTATTTGCTCTTTTCATGACTCACTCATGATAATTTAAGCATAAATTATAATCTAGCTGTCCAGATTTTAAACCTGTTTTTTAGTGGCTGTGTTCAAAATGTGGCTAACTGTGTGCATCTTGCAATGAATATTCATTTTTTAAATTCTCCTGAACAAGGATACAACATACAATCCCAACACCTTTACGTTTTCTGTTTTACAGGATGAATTCTACTGAATAAAGAGTAGTGCTGGCTTGAAATTGGCTCCTACAGGTTACCCTTTTGAGAATTAAAGGCAGCTGAGAATACTCACAAAGCAGAGTTAGTTTAGGAGTCTCCAAAGCATAAAACCAGCAGGGGGTCATGGGGCTGCCATGTTTGTCATTGTGCAGAAAGCACCTGGGATCTCAAGAGCAGAGGCTAAGAGTCAGGGCTTCCAGACACCTGGCTATGCTGCAGAGATCCCTGAAATCCTATGGTCTCTGCCTCCAAAGCATTTTGCACAGCCAAGATACTTTGCAGTTATGGATACTGGAGGCCCCTGAATGAGATGGGCTACATGGCTGTGTTGCCCCAGAGCTGTGGATCTTGAAGCAGCCCACTGGATGAACTATTAGGAAACCAGGGAGGGTTTGGGTCAGACACCAACCAGAAGTCTGCCCGTCTTTCATCAACTTGTCAAAATTGATATGTTTCTATTTTGATTTAGATCAGTGATTCTCAACCTTTTTAGACTAAAAGCACCCTTTATCAGACTCAAATCACCCCCTTGCCAGACTCAGACACACTCCTGCATAACTTTTGTGAATTGCACAGCACCCTATTAAAAAAAATAATTTATTTATTACAGGGTTTACCTCCTTACAGAGGGGGCAGGTAATAGGGATGGGGGAGCAGCTGGGCAGGAGTACCTGAACCTGCCCTTATCTGCCTATCTCTTCACACCTCGCTTAACTTCTTACCCTTTCTAGGAATAATGGGTGCAAACTAGTGGAGAGTAGATTTAGGTTAGACATTAGGAAGCAATTTTTTTACAGTAAGGGTGGCCAGAGTCTGGAATGGGCTTCCAAGAGAGGTGGTACTATCACCTAACTTGGAGGTCTTCAAGACGAGGCTTGACAATCACCTGGCTGGGGTCATCTGATCTCGGTCCTCTTTGCTGCCAGGGGTTCCCTGCCAGGGGCAGGGGGTTGAACACGATGATCCATTGGCTCTCTTCCGACTCTATAATCTAGGAATCTCTGAAAACCCTTCAAAGGACTTCACAGCACCCTGGCTGATAATCACTGTTTTATATGAATAAGTGTTTTGAATCAGAAAAGTCCCTTTTTCAGTTGGGATTTCAAGGGGAAAAAACCAAATTAGGCCATTCAAGATAAATCATTTTAGCTAATTTTAGCTGCTAATAAAGTACCTCTAGAAATCCTTGGGACTAGATAATTTAAAGTATCAGTGATAAAACTTACTCTATGATGAGTAAAGGAGAGGAAGTTTGCAGTTCTGACAAATTACTTGCTAGTAAATTCATTGTAGGTAACCGATTATATCTGTACAAACAGCAGGCCTGTTGAACTTCTGGTAGCCCTCCCTCTCCCCATTCACAGCATTCTATTGAGAACAGCTCCATTTTATAAGCTCACCTGTTTAATTCCCAAAGTAGAGTATGCATGTGGCCACAAAGGCTGATGCTTTTCAGACACTTAAAGTAAAGAACAAAATGGATATGACAATAACAAATACATTTACCTTCCATTAACAGCAAAGCACAGTCGACACATTCCATGTAAAACTGCTGTAGCATTTTGCAGAAAAGTAGCTATTTTGGGATTCTCGTCAATAGGGCCTTGGACTGAGAGGAAACAGCAGCGTAATTTGTCTATCAATCCTATATTCACCACATAACTAGAAGAGGAGGGAAAAACACCATGTTAATAAGTGGCACCTCAGCAATTTCTGTGACTTATTTCCTTTAGTTATGCCTGCATCATCAGTGTCAAATTGTATACAAAACAGTTCCTGAACTCTCAAATGTACAATCTTACAAGGGTAAATATATTTAAAATAAATAACTTAAAATAGATCAAGTTGCAATAATCTTAGATTGGCCCTCTTTAGTATCAATAGTTTCCATTAAGAGATCTATCAAGGGGTAATTTTAATTATTTCTTTTAAGTAACATGAATGTAAATGTTTATTTTATCATATTCTTAGCAGGACAGTGGATCTTGCCATAATAAAATGATTTATAATAAACTTTATAGCTCTGCAGTAACATATTTTTTTTTGTATGAACCAATTTTCTATGACAGAATAATGCAATAAAGAGATGGTGTTACACAGATAAAAATCTTACACTACAAACTCAGTAACAACCACTTTATAGCTTCGCTTTTATTTTACAGACAACAATTAACAGACTAACAAATAATACTTAGGTGGAAGATTTCTACTGTCCAGACGAATCACAGCATCTTGTGGATGTCTAGCTGTAACAGGTAGCCACTCTGGGCTGCCCTTAATGTGGCCCGCACACCTGTTCCTGGGGCAACCACCTGCCTACTCTCCTGCCACGCCTTGTTCTTAATTGATTAACTGGTGTTAATTAGCGGGAGGCTGCCCTTGTACCACCCCGCTCCTAGGGGGCGCTATCTGCGGCTCCGCTTCCTCCCCTACATCGCAGTCCACACCTCGCTGATGGAATCACCGTTGTCTCCATTCTATCACTATTTGGCCCCTTCCTGTTCTCCCTGGGCCTTCCTTCTCTGTGCCCACACTTGGGCTTCCTAATAATGCTGCCCCCTATCTGGGGCTCCCCATGCCCACACTTGGGCTTCCTTTCTCTGTGCCCACACTTGGGCTTCCTAAGAATGCTGCCCCTTGTCTGGGGCTTACTGTGCCCACACTTGGGCTTTCCAACAATGTTGTCCCCTATCTGGGGCTCTCCGTGCCCACACTTGGGCTTCCAAATAATGCTGCCCCCTATCTGGGGCTCACGGTGCTCAACTTGGGGCTTCTCAAATGCCCCTCTCTGGGCTGGGGTCTATGTACCCCGTACGCTGCGCCTGTACTGGTGCTGGGGTCCCCACGCTACTGTGGGTTCGCTATGAGGCCTCCTCCAACCCCTAACAGTCTCACCCAAACCACCGGTTTAACAAACAACAAAACACAAGCCCCTGGGCTGTAACATAAATTGAAGCCACCTGGCTATAACAACATTGCTCAAACCTCAAGAGCTGCCATAAGCTATACCTGCGGTCAGGCTTCTTCCCGCATCCTGGCTTAGGGACCTCCTGCCTCTCTGGCTGCTGGCAGGCAACTGACTCTGGCCCCAGCCCCTAGGGGTTATAAGGGCCAGGCCCTGCCCCTTCTGGTCAGCTGACCTTCCCCGGTTGGCCCGGC